CCCCCCCCCCCCGGGGGCCGCTATTCAGGCTGATTAATTAAGTCAAGAATCTTGGATACGATATATAGCTGACGGATATATAAACATCCTCGCCAATATTTGTGCGGTTTTTCATACGCGGAGAGCTTTTATAGAGACGCCATGTTGGAGCCCTTCGAAGGGGCACCAATACGGCAGGCGTAAACATGGTAAAGTAACAGAAAGTTACGTCTGTCACTGAATTTTGCTATTAAAACGAAAGGCTAGTTATTAATCTACTGCTCTGACACATTCAAATCAATCATCTAATGCAAAAACTGTTCATTTAGACTAGCTTTACACTAGAGGAGATTTTTCCGTATTCGTAAATGTTTCCGGATTCATCAATTTTTCGTAGGCGTTTACACTACAATGGTATTCCGGCGTACAACTCCGGGAACATTCATATGAAATGGTCACCAAGCTGTTTGTTGGCTCGACAACGACAAACAAAATGCCACCAAAAAAGAAGGCTAAGGGTTGCGCGGGACAGGCTGAGGTTTTCTATCCACTCGCTGACCACTCCACTGTTGGCCATCATGTTGTCCCACCAAGCATTTGTTCTGACCGGTCTTATCCAAAACCGTCGAGGTCTTCGATCGCGTCAACGTCGTTCCCTCCGATAAAGTGTGGAGGACGTCAACATTGTTTGCATCAATAATTTTCGTTTTCTGAGGAATATGGCATTACCCATTATAAAATTGATTGCTTACAACTGTAACAGCATGAGGCAACCAGCGACCGTCATTGCTACCGGAAAAAAATATCAAGATTCGAAAGAAAATCGTTCACACGACAAAATCTCCGGATTCAAAAGTTTTCGGATTCAACGTTCCCACTTTAAGTTCTCCGAAGGCACGACGAAAACGTATTGCGCAGCTTTCTGCGCATCCCTAGCCCTACTTGCGGGGAAAGAACGGCGGACTGCTAATAAGGCAAGCATAAATTTTTTTGGCATTTCACTGTTAGGAAAACAAGACTCCCCCAGCCTACTCAGAGGCTCTCTTGGGTTACTTGTATGGATGCAATATGTACGTGTGTAAAGAGGTTTTGTGGAAAAATGTGTCTTCCCACCGAAATTTCTTGTATACCGTGGGGAATTAAAGGGTTCGGAAACCTTCCGAAAGAAATTGATTCTCCAGGAAAACAATACACCAGTATTCTATTAGTGACGTTAAAATGTTGCTTCTTACCGGGAAACTTGTGAAAGCATATAAAGTTCGTAACTTTTTTTGTTTACACGATCGACGAAATTCCCGCTATTTTTTCAAACTTGAAGTCTGGCGCACACCCAATACTTGCGCATGCTTATTGCGTTTTTCTGCTCTGAACTCTGCGCTAAATCGTAACATTACTGTAGGGTCGATGATGAAGCTGTGCTTTTCAGACGATAGAGACGATACCATAAAGATCATACTATGTAACGTCATTTCGTTTGACCAAATAGTTAACAGAACCCTCGCTTATGGCTCGGTCTTTCTCTTAGTCCAGTCCCTGAACTCGCCTTTCTTCCCGCCCCATACAGGGACTGAACCCGGGCGGGCGAAAGGAGAGACTCTCTTTTCGCCCGCCCTGGTTCAGCCCCTATATGGGGCGGGAAGAAAGGAGAGTTCAGGGACTGGACTATCTCTCTCTCTGAACAAGAGAAAAGGAGGAGACAGCCATCTCGAGGCTTTGATCTTTATGGTCCCTTCGGAAACCGTGTTTCTAGAGTTAAGCCTCCTATTTCAAAAAACACCGTTAGAGAACGTTACAATAGTTGTTTGAAACTAAGGGTGCAGCCACTTAAACTGAAGAAAGGCCTTCTTTACATAAGAGCTTTCTCTTTTCATATTCGAAGTATAGCAATAAATCAACAGCCCTTAGAATTAATGCACGGCTTATTTCTTTCTTTACATATGATTAATCAATAGCAGATTTCCCACATGGCTAGTGCATCACCAACAGCTTCATCCAATAAGGAGACCACTAACTATGCACGCTTGTGTCGTCTCCTGGTTGATGTTGGTACCCAGGCCCTTAGGGACACACTTGATGCCATTCACGCACCAGCAAATCTTCACGCAGTTTTGGCGGCAAATAAACCCACTTTACAAGGTCTCAGATCAAGAAAAATTATCAATTCGACGCAATGGGGCAGGCTCTTTCCAGTCATTCCTTCTTCAGTGTCTTCGAAAACCTTTGACACTACTCTTTTGATGGTTCTCTTAAGAAATGTGTGCGGCTTGCCTTCTCCAATGACCGGGTGGGACACACTTCCCGCTGCAACGGACATGACTCGTGAAGCAGATATTGCTCGTATTAAGTACTTGAGAAACACCGTGTACGCCCATGCCGAACAAGCTTCGGTTGATGACACAACGTTCAACGCGTACTGGCAAGACATTCGGGACATTCTGGTGAGATTGGGAGGGGTTAGGTACAGGGCAGCTATCGACAATCTGCAAACTGAGTGCATGGACCCTGAAACTGAAGATCACTACAAGCTACTTCTCAGTGAATGGAAAAAGGACGAGGAAAACATTAAAGATGAGCTAAAAGAGATCGGAACCAAGATGACAGATGTCATGAAAAAACTGGATGATTTAACAGCAGCAACTGTGACTAACAGAAAGGAATCAAGCGATGAAGGTAGGTTTTAATGACACTAAGGGTCGATTTACACGGTATTTTGTGACAAATTTCTACTGAGTAGGAGACGAGGTGAAGTGTTCTTGTGTCAAAATGGCGGACGAACTTGTTGTTGACTGATTTATATGAAGACGTTTCTCGAAAAGTACTGAACGGATTAAAGCGAAAAACATTTCTTTAGAAAGTTTTTTCAACGCACAGGACAGCTAAAATATTTTCTTACTGTTTGTTAGAACTTTCGCTCCGAAAATCCAGGTGCAGACTTTTGCATATTTAATTTTGTAAGTGAAAATGTCAAGCGCGTGTAAATGGTCTTAAAGGAGTAGGTCACTCCAAAGACCGTGTATTTTTTTCCATCACCAATAAAAAGTTCACATTGAGTTGAGTTACTCACCGTTGTTTTAGCTTCTGAAGAGGATGCGATCCCAATGAAAAAGAAGTGAAAAGTTCGACACCGGGAGCCGCCATTTTGAAAGGATCTTGAAGGCCAGGCCGCATATCCGTGACGTCATTCCGTCCGAGAATGTGTTTGTTCTCTTAAGCTTTAGTATGGCTGCGCTTGAAGCCAGAACGTGCTGGTGATTCCGCGGATGATAATAATCAAGTTGAATGGAATGATCGATTGGAAAATGCTCTGTGGTGTACTTGTGAGAGATGTGCAACCATGCCGACGCAAAGAGAATGTGTTTGTTGCCGAGAACAGC